TCACCTTTCCTATCCTATCTGAGAGTTTCCTATGTAGGTCAGCCCCTGTGGGGAGAAACTATACACTATCTTCCAAACCCGTCAAAACCACTTAAAACCATGCCTTCCATACAAGTCCACAGCATTTGCAGCACCTGAGGAGGAAGAGAGTAAATACTGGAAGAGAGTAAATACTGCTGGCTGCCACACAGGACTGTTTAATGTATCGCAAAGATAGGTGGGAGCTGTGTACGGATGTTTCCTACTCATAACAGAGAGTGATTTAGTCTCATTTATTTGTATTCTAAGATGAGAGGGAAATCGACTACAAAACACAGAAAAAATAAATTGAGAGGGGAGCAAAATAAAACAGGTTAAATAAAATTTACATATAAATGGCCAATGTAAGCTTAACTGCCATAATAATTCTTCATAAATAAATGTCGCAAATGTTAAACCTGAAAGGATTTTCATAAGTACGCATTTCACAGCCTAGCCTGTTGCACATTATTTCCGTTTTGGCTTTAAACCAAAAATAAATTAGAGGAGTATGGAGCTCCACATTTATCTTTCATCAAATTGCAGATCGAGTTAATTCGTTTCACAAGTAAAAGATGGGTTTGGTAACAGCTGGTTTTGCAAACTCACCTCAAATCTAAAATTCAAGTTACTGCTGGATTTTCAGAAATGCATATAATTCTGGACGATATAAAGGTTTTGCTTTCAGCAATGCCTGTTGCGCTTCACTGATCTCAGTGTGAAGCAAGACTGAGTACACGCAGCTTCAGAAATGGCTCTGTGGACAGTAGTGAGGGAGCAGGATACTGCAGTCGAATTCCTGCTCTAGTAGCTGTCATTTCTCTGCAAGGAAATGGTGGTATAAGACTGTAAGTTTGTGGATGTGGCTGAATATGCAGAAGGAGCTGATTGCTCTTGAAATAAAATGCTATATTTATGCAAGATCTGGCTGGGTCCGGTGCCCTGTAAAATCAACAGAAAAGGCTTTAATCAAATTCATTCAGATGGCTATGAGGGTGAATAGATTGGACCAATAATTACTTTCCAAACTCAAACTGCAGGTAGCAATGCAAATAGCTGTAGAGTCAGATGTTGCAATAGCACAGGCACGACATAGCAATACAAGTTCAGCATAAACACCCTGCAGATATGGAACATAAGAAAAAAAATAAAGACAATTAAGTTATTTCTTAGTCAATATACCATTAATGCATATGATTTCCCAAATGTATCAATGAAGAAATACATGCTTATAAAAATCTTAAAGGACACTTGGCAGTTACAACTACTACTCTGTAAGTGATGTGTATGTGCCTCCACAATAATGCTGAATGCCCAAGGGGAATTTAAAATTTCATGTTTTCAAAAGTTTGCTCTACAAGTGAAATTTCTTTGTCTTTTTCGGATGGCCGTGCTAGCTCTGATGGAAGCCATTTTTGTGGGTGGGCACTTCACAGTCTATTACTTCAAGCCAAATGCTATGCATTTTCTGCAACCTCACACACCTAAAAAGAAGCTATTCACTGTTTCCTGGTGATATTTTAACGAATTCAAGTGAAAAAGCAGTAAAAAAAAATTCATTTTGGCTTCAAAGTCTGAGACCTTTCTGCAAAAATTTTGAGACCTGTCTGATTAGTGATACTAATAACTCCAGTCCTTTCCATAAGGAATACGTCAGTCTTGAGTTACTCCTTGTCTGCATCAAGCAGATCCATTTGTCACCATTTTTTTCAGGGTTTTTTGTTTTGTTTTGAAAATGGCATTCATCATCATCACTCTTTCTTAACTTCCTAACAGAGCTCGAGTTGACTGTAGCAGCTGCTACAATATAAAGTGAAGCCATCCCTAAGGCTGCTTTTTGAATTCACGCAATATATTACCAAGATCCTCTTAAAAAGAACACAAAACAGATATCTGAATTTTTTTTCCATCTCTGAAATTCTCTGAACTTGTCCTTAATACCTCAAAATCTAAACAAAAATCCTAATTATATGTTAAAGTTGATTTTGGTCTGCCTTGGGAGAACCATACATCATAACGCTTCCACGTCAATACACATACAAACAAAACTCATAAGGAAATCTGAGACACTAATCATATTGACAGTCCCAAATAAATGGCCTCTTAGCTGGAACGGCACTAAGCTGCATTTTCAGCAAATACCATAACAGCTACTTGATCTTTGACATGTGTGTCTATATGTATGTATATATTTAATCTTACCATTCCATACAGCTCTCTTCAAAGAAAAACTTAGCACAGCTAAAGGTCAGGAGTTCTATCCAAAGCAACAGCTCTAATACAACTGGAGCAATTAATTTCTCCTTACTATTGCACTTCAGTTTTCTTTTACAGTTCGCATACTGTATGTTTTAGCAACTGGTTCCTAACACGGAAAACAAATCCTGGTGTTCTAACAGACCTATTTGTTTATGTAGGATATCTGGGCTTGGACAGAATTAAGTTGAGTGAGCTGCTTTATGACAGTGGAATTAAACCAGATGCTTTCCCTTCCCTGTTCAGCTCTAATTTGCTGTGGGGCTATGTCTGTTTCAGCTGATCAACCTACACCGTTAAAGCATCTTTTCTTGATATGACTGACACGGGACATGGGACCAGCAGGATACAAGACTATGCCCAAAGACACAGTTCCACAACTCATCCTCAGCCTCACCTAAAGTGCAGTTAGTTTTAGTCGAGTGTTCTTCACCTACGGCTGCTGCGAAGGGATTGTAAGCGATGTTAAGGCTATCTCATTTAGATGCCCTTTGCACAATAGGTACAATCAGTAAACTGCAGCTGAAGTGTCAGTATCATATTCAGATATCACAGCAAGCTATTTGAGTGAGAACATCCAAGGATGCACTCGAGATTTATCTTCCTTTGTTTTCTGTCCAGTGTTGAATTTGAAGCCTACTACTAATTCCCACCAATCTATCACTGATGGCTTTGGACTTGCACCTGAGAAGGAATAGTGAGACTACTACTAAGGAACAGAAGAAGAATTTTGAGAAAACCCAGCTCTGTTCCTCTCTGGCACTGCAGATGTGTCAACCACCCCTTTCGTGCAGGGGTGCTGAAGGAAAGATGACTGGGTTCTGTGTGTCCAGAATTACTTTTTCAAATGTAAAGTGAGAGTGAGAAGTTGATACCCACCCATTTGAACTCTGGCTACTGCTGGTATCACTGTGTAAGAAAGCTTGGCCACTTCTTCTAGAGCTAAAAAAATACCATTTAAAAGTATTACTAAGGACAAGGTTACCCCTATATTTCTGCAGTTCCTTCGTCAAAGGCCATGTGTGTAAAAAGTTGATCAGAGGCTGTAAAACTATGGGGGTGAAAAGGGAGATTGCATTTTCCACCTTTTTTACAAAAGAAAAACCCAAAAATGTTAAGAGACTCCCCCAAGATTATAGAAACACATGGTACAGTGGAAAGAAGGCAGATTTTCTAATTTCCAGTCCAATTTTTGTTACAAAATAATCTTTCAAGCTTTTGAAGCTATCGCTTGTCCCTGGCTTCTTGCATTCCCTGCAGAGACGTTCAGTGTGACATTGCTGTAATGTTCTTATCAAATGCGTTACAGCATGTGACAAGCCGTGTAGCCATGAACTCACGGTACCCCGCATAACAAGTTATTATACCAAGTATTTATTTTAATTGGAAAGGCGTTCTGGGTTTGACGACTTTTACTGAACACAGGCATAGGACTGTTATGATTAGCCACTAGATGCCACCGTTGCTCCTATAAAAGCACTCTGGTCTTAGCCTGGGTCTGTCCATAAAGCCCCACAAACCTTCAACAGACTTCCCCAGCGTGTATCGAAATACTGGTATAGCGTTGAAATAAAAATATAAATGCAGGTACACACTTGTAATATTTCTGCTCCAAATATCGTTATACTCAATTCCTTTATAAACTGTCACCTTGGTAACACACACAACACCTTAAGGTCCATTTTCTTTTTGGAAGCATGTAAAAGGCTTTATGGTCACCTGTCACGGGTGACACCCTGATGATGGGGATGTGTAGGTGTCAAGGACCCCCTCCTACTCCTGTCGTGCTGCACATGACTCGCTGGGACCCAGCAACCCACAACCGTTTGCGGGGAGCTGGAGTCAAGGAGCGGGAGACAGTATTTTTAAGTGGAAGACTTGTATGGAAAGCTGAAACATTCGTAATTGTGGTAATCCCTAATGCCATCGTGAAAGCTTCCTGAAGGACAGCCCTCCCCCTTAGCTTGTTGCCTCTTAGTAGCATGGTGAAGGCAGACCCAGGATCTGCCACTCTGTTGCTTGCAGAAGATCTCGGGTGGTATTTATGTGCCCGGACACATTGCCTGGACTGCTGTTTTTAATGGTGACAGCGGAGTCAATGCCTGATATCTAGTGTCTCACTGCTCAGCTTGATAAATGCTCCAGCCTGTGTGTGCGTAGAGAGGAAACTAATGATGGGCTGCCTTGGAAAGGATGCTCAGCCCTGGGGAAGCTAGAGGGTATGTTTCCTGATGCTCGCACAACTCAAAAAGGCGAAGAGCACACAGCCTGCTCACTGCATGTAGTGGAGGCGCAAGGCAAAACTGGAAACGACTTCACTAAGTGACCTCTTCGTAGCTAAGGACTATGCAGAGTAGGCTTCTTTCTTCGTTAGGTGGATGAAGTAATTCCTGTCTTTTCGGAAAAGGGCTTGAATTTTTTTCTCTCACAACTACTGCATTGCTTTTGCTAGCCTCACATACTACCAGCTTCTATACTCCTCCTCTCGCCTTGATATACGCACCTGACAATTGATGAAGTCACGTGAAGTGACACAAAATCCCGCAGACTTAGCTACAAAAATGGGTGGTTTTGCTGGCAAATGATTAAACATACACTACCAGATCTTCGGTAACTTGGATGTGTTTCAGCGAAAGGGCAAATGGAGACGAGGAATGATTTATGGCTTTTGCTGGAGATGAGCCTCTGGCACGATTAAGTTAGGGGTGCATACAAACACGGGGGATATGTGGGAGATCTTAAACTTCAGAATTAAAGCTGTCTCTACAGGCACAGTGTCCGGAACGTTTCGCTCCTGCTGTCAGCCACCTTGGGCTGTGGACAGTGCAGCCCAGCCTGAGGTCGGGAGGATGAAGAGGCTCTGCCCCAGCATCTCGGAGCTGGGGACAGTAACAGTCACACACTCCGGCTGCGGGGATCCACGCCGCAGGAAAAGACACGGCCACGGAGGGCTACAGTTCTCGGCCGGAAGGCTGTTAGCCGTCCGGAGCGGGGGAGCAGGGGGTCGAGCGGGGGCAAAGGGCCTCCCCTCCTCCTGGAACGACGCCCCCG